TCATCACATTTATAAGGTTTCTCTCCAGTATGGATTCTCCTATGACATTGAAGATTCGAGGACATACCAAAGGACTTTCCACAGTCATCACATTTATAAGGTTTCTCTCCAGTATGGATTCTCCTATGGCATTGAAGATGGGAGGACTGAACAAAGGACTTTCCACAGTCATCACATTTATAAGATTTCTTTCCAGTATGGATTCTCCTATGACATTGAAGAATTGAGGACTTACCAAAGTACTTTCCACAGTCATCACATTTATAAGGTTTCTCTCCAGTATGGATTCTCCTATGGCATTGAAGGTGGGAGGACTGGACAAAGGAATTTCCACAGTCATCACATTTATAAGGTTTCTTTCCAGTATGGATTCTCCTATGACATTGAAGAATTGAGGACTTACCAAAGGACTTTCCACAGTCATCACATTTATAAGGTTTCTCTCCAGTATGGATTCTCTCATGAACATGAAGAGATGAGCACCTAGTAAAGTGTTTTCCACATTTGTCACATTTATAAAGTTCCTTTCCTATATGGATTCTGTGGTGAACATGAAGTGATGATCTTTTCCTAAAGGATTTTCCACATTCATCACATTTATAAGGTTTCTCTCTCATATGGATTCTGTGATGACTATGAAGGTATGAAAGATTGCTATAGGACTTTCCACAATCATTACATTTATATGGCTTCATTTCTGCAGTGTGACTTGAATCATTCTGAATGACATTTGAATTGAAATCAAATAATCTTTCACATTCTTTAATCTTGTGAAATTTTATTCCTGTATGCTTCATATTATCCATCTCCAGATTTGAGCATTCAATTGTTACCTTCTTGCACGCATCACCTCTGAGTCTCTCATAAATTTCTTGAGTACTAGTTCCATTATACTGAATACAGTTTGAGAATTCGTTAAGAATTTGGTCATGGTGTTTGCTTGTCCTGTGCTTCTCTTGGCTATGTTCATGTTTTTGTGAAGAAGTGTTTGAGTACATATGAAAATCTTTCGGATGTTCATGGGTTTCAAAATAATTAACTGCTGAGCATGTATTTATGTGAGAATTACTAGAAATTACATCATTAGTAGAGTAAGTCCATGAGTTCTTGCCATTAAAAGGTATTTCAAACTGACTATTCTGGTAATTATTTACCAAAGAAAGCTTAGAAAGGTCATTATCAACATCACTAAATATATTGGAATTTTCACAACTTCTTTTCTTATGATACATATTATGCCACATTTCATTCCTAAAATATTTATGTTGATCTAAATTGTGGAGGTTGTCATAACGTGGAAGTAATTGTTCAGGAACCTCTACTGAATTTTGAGTATAGGAAACACAATACTGCTGACAATTCAAATATTTTTCTGTGCTTAAATAACTCCTTTCTTCAGGGACTGTTGGAGTATCATTTAGTTGCACAACTCTTGAAAAGTGTTGCAAAGACTTTGAAGTGTTACACTGTTTGTCTCCTTGTGAAGTTTTCATATATCCATGTAGAGCATAGCCAGCTGTCCATGCTTGGGGTGAATATTTTTCCATATAATCATTTGATTCTGAACTTGTAACTGACACAGAGTATGCTCTCTTTGGACACACCAGAAGTTCTTGATGTTTTTCAAAAATAATGCCTTTCCCATGTTTTTCATGAACATCACTCTCATGATAACATGACTCATATTCTCTGTTGTCACCATGATAATCCCAGAACTTCCTTGTATGTAACATATTAAGACCAATTGTTTCAAATAAGCCTTCTCTTTCTTCCTGTAAATAATCTTGTTTGTACTTCTGTTGGGAGATCTCCTGGGTCTGGTAAAATGATAGAGCTGAAAGAAATGAAAAGAAACAAACTCTTGATTTTAAAATAATTTGAAAACAATATGAGAGTATAATGCATAAAATGACAGCTGCCTGGGGAATATATTGAGATTGTTATACAGTAAGTTTTGTTGTAGGAAATAAATGTGCTTATGAAAAATGAGAGAAATTCATGTAATGCTTGACCTTCATAAAGTCATGTAACAGGCAAACATAGACAACAATTCTGGAAAAATATTGGAGCTCTTTCCCACTTGCCTCGTGCATAAGGAACATATCTATTGTATTCTCTGCTATGATTCTTTCTGCTTATACAATCATAATCCAAGAGATCACAGTTTTTTTCTTGACTCTACTCCTCCTTGTGAACATCTACTTCTTATCATTTCCTAAACAGAGCAACTTGGATTGCACTCAAACACATTTCCTCCCACAAAGACAGCATACACCAGAACATGCTCAATCATGTCTGCCATCTGGTCTCTATTATTACTATCCTCCCTAAGAGTGAGTAAGTAGGTTGTTGCCAGTCTATCCTCTCATCTACACAAAGCAATTGCATAAGTAATTTATAATCACCTGACTCTGTGTAATTTCCTGAACACATGATCAAGATAGAAAGTACAACCTGTCCTGCTAACACTTACAAACACTATGAAGGGCCCTGACATTCCTCTATCACTAGCGAGGGAGCACAAGACACTCCCAATTCTCCTTCATGCAAATCATCAGCACTTTTGATCCCAGTTTGGAAACATACATTTACACTTGTTATCAGACCAGTAATTCCACAATATCCACTCATCTACATTCCCTCACCAATCCATCATTCTAGCCTGTATTCTACCATATGTGCCCATATTTAGACTGATAATCTCTGTCCAGAATACTCCTACATTCACCCTTACAATGGGATGCCCTTCTTGTAATTCTGCCCATCCCCTGTGCCTACTTGACACCCCACCACCCATGCTATATGTAGCCTTCACACATAAGCTTTCCTGTATTTATTGTTGCCTGTTAATTCTTCATTGTGCATAAAAGACACAGAAATTACAAAAGAGTTCACAGGACCAATTTTGATCACAAGAACATGATTACTATATATGATAGTTTGAATAACAATGTTCCCTAAAGGTCACACACTTGACAACTTTGTTTTCAGGTAGCCACATTATTTGACTCGAAGTACGGAGTTAATGCATAAAATGTGGGACTGAGTTAGGACCTTGAAGTACAGGAAATACACACTATCTTTAGTTTCCTTTCTGGTGCTTGCTTGAAATTTGACATTTGAACCTTATCTGTTCTTTCTACAACATTTACTGACTCTTGACTTCATCCCATGGCATAACGGAGTCTTATTATCATGGTAACTTAAGCCCAGTGAAACTCTTAGATTTACACATTTTCCTGGTAACTGTGTTTATTCAAATCAATAGAAAATCACACATAGAATGTGGAGAATAAAGCCATCATTTTACCCCCACCCCCAAAGTCTATCATCTTAAAGAAGTATTCATGAATCCGTAGGTACCATAATACAGAAGATGGAAGAACTTACATAAACACTATTAAAGTAATCAAAGTGCTTAAATTAGACAGAACAAACAGCCCAATAAAATTAATGAAGAGAACCTAAAAAATCTGAGTGAGGTAAGAGACCACAGAGACATAAATGAAGACAGTCCAGTCTCAAAAAATTCAAAAAAAAATTTAAAAATTCAAATTAAAAATTAAAAAATGGATTTATTGATGATAACCCAGTCTAAAGTGAAGTAACAGGAAAAAAAAGTCAAGATAGAAAAGTCAAGATAAAGCTTTATATGTGAGACAGAAAAAAAGGGAAAAAAGTCAAGATTAGAAAAGTCAAGATAAAGCTTTAAAAGTGAGACAGAAAATAGCAAATATAATATCAAAACTCAATAAAAACAAGAAGAGTAGTTTAACTGCATATCAGAAACACACCCACATGTTTGTATAGTTAAATATAGAACTAAAAATTTTACACAGGTAATGATCAACACCATAGTAATGAGAGAGAGAGAGAGAGAGAGAGAGAGAGAGAGAGAGAGAGAGAGAAAGTAAGATAAGAATCATACCTCAATGTCACAGATAAAATCTTCCCCAGATCATGAAAGACAAATTTGCCAAACTCAAGAAAGTCATAACATTTTAGATATTGGAAACATTTCAACACCAAATAAGCAAAAATATAAAAAGAAATACCACACAGCAAGCCCTAGTTAATATACAAAACAAAACAAGAGCATTAAAATATGAAGACGGGGGGCTGGAGAGATGGCACAATGGTTAAGAGCACTGGATGCTTTCCCAGAGGACGCAGTTTCGATTCCACACATCCACATTGCAGCTCACAGCTGTCTGTAATTCCAGTTCAAAGAGATCTGACACCTACATACCAATGCACATAAAATAAAATTAAATCAATTATTAAAAAATAAAATAAAATATAAAGAAGTGAACTAACTGTCTCATGTATATGAGCAAAATGGGGAAAACCCATTAGAGTAACAGCTGATTTCAGAGGAGAAGGAACTAACCAATAGAGCCAGGGACAGTGCACTCCTAAAGAGAATAAGGGCCTATACTGACTACTGTAGTAAGCAAAAGTGTCTGCTATAGTCGATGAAGAAGGGATTTTTTTATGAATTAGAAGGTATGAAATGATTCATTACATGCACACCCATAGAAAACAAGAGACAGGAAACAGTATTTAAGACTGACAGGCAGCTCAAGACAGAATAGCAGATATACTAACTTCAGACCTTCACCTCAACTTTTTCTTTTCTTAATTCAATCTCCAGTACCATCTTCAGCTTTGATAAAATGGCCTGCTGCAGGTTCCCTGCTGCCTGTGATTTCATCTCCAATGGTTAAAACACATCTTCCAATTCTAACACCATTTTTCCCAACCTTTCTTGATCTCAGCACCCAAACCTGCCAGGAATTTCCTGGAACTCCAGAGCCCCTCCTGCCAGGTAACAAGTTAACTCCAGGACTTCACCTCTCACCATGGCTCTTTAAGTCCAATGTAATAGATTCAGCCCAAGCTCTGTAGCAGAACTGCAGCAGCCTCATCCTTCCCTATGTCAGAGAATCCCACAACCCACCCCTGAACCTTCCTTCTACTCCTGATTGCATTGTCCACACTCCAAATCCAGCAGAAACAAAGACCCAGAAACCAAACAGAAAAGGGAAGCAGGGAGGCAAATTACTGATTTTCACCTTTTTCTCTGCTTTTCTAAATCTATCCCCCAACACTTATCCCCATATCTGGAAGAAAACACAACAACTTCTGAAGCCATTTCTT